TCCAGCTGGACAGAGGTATCCGGTGGTTTGTCATGGTTTAGAAGGTCGTGACTCCATAAAAACTTCACTATCCTCGGGACGGGAAACTCAAGGTCTATCGTGTTCACTCGGAGCAGGGCGGACTTATTTAACTTAACGCATTCTCTTAACTTAATGTTATTATCACTGATTTCATTACCAATCACATGGTACGATTTAATGTCTCATTATTATTATACACAATTAGTGGTCACTCTCTTTAAAATCTGAGTCCGAATGTGTGATGATTAAATCACGGTATTTTCCCCGGGACACTCCATGGCGACGCGCCAGTCACCACCGGTCCTACATTATTCACTTATTTTACCAATTTATTACGGTGCGTCCCATATAAGTTTTTCCCAGTTGTAGGTCCTCTAAACAGGGGCTCTTCTGTACCTGCCAGAGTGCCATCATCCAAGTACCAGTTGTTGAGTTCCACTGTGCAGGCTGGAAAGTAGTTCCTTACTGCCAAGAAGAAAGAAGTGGAACGAGTGGGTCATCCTATGAATCCCTACGATGTCAGTGATTTTAATGTTATCAAACCAAAAGAATTGAAGGTTTGCTGCTAGCCGGCTGAATGAAGGAATAAAAAAGGCTGGGGATACCGATCCTGAATGGACGTCAAGACAACACCTTACTTCCCATATTAAAAGCATTTTAGAATCATGTTTGTCTTCTGATAGGTCCTGAAAATTAGGTCCTGGCCACATGAGCTGCGGGCTTCGCTGATTGAGAGACACCAAAGCCTAGTTGGTGTTGGGTGGAGAAAAACTGGCAGTTCTAGGGCGATTGTTTCTTGTGCTGCTTTGGCCAACGAGGACGGGAAAGAGTGATACCACAGCTATGGGTCTGATTATTCCATCGTATTCTTCAAAACACTTAGTGAGGCTCTAATGAAGAAAGGTTAATTTCTTTCTGGGATTCGCCCAGCCAGGTCAGTTGTTGACGAAAGTTGTTATACTCGGTGAAGGAAGAATTGATGCTGATGTACCTAGCTACTGGATTTACCATCTATTGGAGGTGTTGTTGGTCGCTTCCAGTGTAACCTCATGCAGGATCATGTGGAAATGACCACAATAAGCTTTTAGACTTCTGATTTTGGCAAAATTAATTGATCAGTGCAAAGGGGGTCTTCTCAGGGTTGTTGCTGATGGCTATGGTGTCCATGGTTGGTTTGCTTATCTCTTAGTGCTTGGGCCGAGGTTCATCTTTGGGTGCCAAACGTGTCGTCACTTGTAATTTATCTGGTTGCTCCTTACTGTGTACTGTTAGTATTTAAACTCTGGCCTTATCTCTAGCACGCTTTATTGAAACATTGATATTCATAGTAATTCTGCAACAACCAAATATTTGACCTAGTACTTCTATATAACTGCTTCTACTTGGGATGGTGATGTCTTGCATTATGTCAAGAGAAAAGTTTTAACTACAGGCCACATATTTAAACTCACCATGTAATCTGCATCACTAAATATGGATATAAGAGAAGGGAATCACCTCACCATGTGTTGGCGCACATCACACAACCAAAAAATGTTGTTGTTGTTATGGGCCCCGAACAGGTTGTGCAGTTTATCTTGCTGCTGCTCCCCACAGGTGCAGTATCACTACAATCTCCCCCTTCTTAAATATCAGGACAGTATATCCCAAAAACTGTTAGGTGGGCGACGTACAGTCCCGACCTTCGTAGCCTTGAGCCTCTTCACCAGGTTACAATATTTTCCTGGGGGGTTTGACTAAATGTTGGAGCAGATGCCTCTTATTTCCGTAGCGGGTAGTCTTAAGGGGCTTTCAGGAGAAAAACGGAAGCATCTTTCACATCTTTTGAGGGTATCTTGAGATTCCACACTAATGGGGATTTCAACTGGGGGCTATATGTCTTGTAGATACTGTAGTCTCTCATTAATTTTTGTAGGAATGGGGCGTTATGTGGATTTGCTTGCAGGGCTATTATTTTCACAATAAGGTTCCGTCTTGATTCATCATATGGTGACTCTTCAGCGAGAACGGGTCCAGGATGACATAACCAAGTGGGCTCGGAGGGGGGGACCTCCCCCCCCACCATATAAGGGGTGGGTGGGGAAACGACGTGAATAGTTGAGGGGTCTTTCATGTGGGGTTGCATTAGTTAGGGCCTGTGCACTGGGGGGGGTGCAATTGATCAAATAGAGTGAAGAGCATCAGGTTGGACAGTTTGCTTAATGTTCAACAGGTAGATTGCGCGACTTCAATGTCATTGTAACTGCTTCCTTATAGTACCCATTGAACCGCTCCACTTGACCATTGCTTGAGGGTTGTAGCTTGTAGTCTGCTGCAGGCAGACCTTTGCCTATGACAAAAAATCCTAAGTTCGTTACTCTTGATCGAGGATCCCTGTCGAATGGATCATAAGCTGGCATAACCAAAATTAGAGAACAAAATGTGAAAGACAACTATTAAACAGTTGAAGCATCATATTTGCACAGGGGATAACAAAGGGGAAACTTGAATATCATCTACTATGTAAGGATATATCATTCTGATTTATGCTTGCGTAGAGGTCCTTTGAAATCTTATTTCAGTCTCTCGAAAGGCTGGGTGGATTTTTTATGAGATGGTCTTCTCTGGCTATGAAAGTTGGCTTGCACTCTGCACATACACTGCATGCTCTGGATCATTGTGCAATCTTCCACTGGTTAGGGCATGTTCTTTGATTTGACCAATAATGGTAATGGCGTGTAAACTCCTGGGTGACACAAAGCCCCCTTGTGGAGCGCTGAGAGTGATTGCATATCTAGAACATGCTGTCCACAGTGGGACCTAGAGAATGCATCAGGTGAGATGTTATCTTGACCCGGTCGGTACAGATTCTCAGTCATAACACGATAGTTCCTTCACTCCAGCGTATTATCTTGTCAATTCTTATCCTACTTTTGTGACTTCTTGTCGAACATGATACAATCAACGGAACGTTGTCAGTCCTTGTGGTGATAATGTATACCAGTTAAATAATGCCTTCCAGTGGCGAAACTGATTCTATGATGGCTGGGCTTCCTTATATTCTCACAGAAGCATAACACTTCTAGGATACTTGAAACGTTCTAGAAAAGAAGGCTTACTGAGTCGTCCCGCCAGAGAAAGACTGCAGCAATGGCAATGTCAGATGAATCTGTTTCCACTTCGAATGGTAGGGACTCATCAATGGCTTGAACAACTGAGTTTTCAATGCCTGTGTTGAGAGTGTGGAAACGGCCGGTTCTGCTTCCTTTGTCACAGGAAATGTGGTTGCACTCATGGGCGGACTGTACTTGGAATTAATTTTAGATCTTTGTGAGTAACTAAGCAAAAGTGACCAAGTGTTCTTAGGAGTTGACTTTTGTTCTTTGAAGGCATTGGAAGTTCCCGTAGAGGTCGTAGTCGTTTAGGGTTGGGAAATTTTGAACCTCATTCCACTACATAACAAGGATGCTAAGACTTTTAGTTGAAAATAGTCACTTTTCATCTTAGTAAACTGATATTTTTCTTCTTGGCGGGCTTCCTAAAAAACTTTATCAAGGTTTGCATCTGGTTCCTACTGGGTCTTGCCACAAATGGTATTTATTATACTAAATACGCATAAGTTTCCCATGAGTTGCTCTTCCTGAATGAGTGAATACATAATTCGTTGGAAGCAGGGCTTCCCCAGTGGTGACTCCAAGGGGTACTCTGGTAAAATTGATACAGGCCATCACTAGCCTGAAAACGCTGTGTATGGTTTATATTCATTCCTCATAGGACTTGATTGATAGGCAACTCTGTAGATCAATTGTGCTAAACAACTTAGTACTGAGCAAATTTTGTTCAATGTATCATCAATTCGAGGTAGAGGGTACCCATCAAGAAGTGCAAAATTTGTTGATTGTCTCAGAGTAATCGATTGCCCTGTCTCCGTTTCACCTATATATCCTTAAATCAAATAAACAACCTGTGCACGCCAAGGGGAATTACTCGGTTACTATAATAACCTCCTTCAGCTGCCTCTGAGTTTCTTTTCAAATGAACATCCGACACCTCCGCATAAGAATAGCCGGCGTGACTTAGCTGATATAGGATGGCAATCAGGGTAAGATTTGCAACAGCTTTGGTGGGGTCTATACCCTTAAAGTGCTAAGTCCACAGACTACAAGAGAAGGCAGTTCACTTACATATGTTAAAGGTGACACTATCATGGCAGGTCTGAAAAGTCCTGTCCAAGGATAACATCAGAAGAATAGTATGTGGCGGAATAGCTCAAATGTACATCTTGATAATCCTTTCCTTTAACGCTGAGATTTACCGTACAAAACCCTAAGGTCTGAATGAGAGAGATGTTGATGCCATGGAAACGGTAATGTCTGGAGTGATGTACAGTAAGCAGTGGAGTTTAAATAAGTCAAGGTTGACGTCAACTCTCTGAGACGCCACTATCAATAAGGACCATCTACTTCTGTTCCTTTGATGATTACCTTCCACAACTGCTTTGACAGTGAATTTGGTGTAGCCGCAGAAGTCACTGTTGCTAGTGTGCATGATCACTGGAATGTGTGGAGGCACTAGCTCTTGTTGATGCAATTAGCACGACATACTTTAGCAATGTGAACTTTCTTTGTGGCTTTTATGGCACATGGCTTACGAGCAGGACACTTTGACGTGGATGTCTTGAAAAAACCACAAAAGAAACTCACCGTACTGATGCTGCTGTCACTGTGGCAGGTTCCACAGTAAATTCATTGCAAGAGTCTTGGTCAGGAGTTGCAGCACTTACCAATCGAGAAGGCTGAGTGGTACTGTTATACTTCAGATTCTTCTGGGCGAATTTGAGCTCTTACCTGGTCAAAGGCAGTGGCTAAGTCTAGGTCTTATTCTTCCATGAAAAACGTGCCTTATTATTGGTGATTGAAGGCCACTGATAAAAGCTTCCCTGATGGACTCTTCACAATACTGAGCAGCTGTTCAACTGCTTGGAAAGTGTCAGTCCTTACCCTAAAATTTTCAGTGCTTGAAGGCTTTTTCTCTATGGATTCATCAATATGCTGGCGGCGGAAGTTGCAAGGCGAAAGCGTGCAAATGTTTTCATTTGTAGGTTTAATATACTGAGAATTGAGGGTTTTGATAGCAATTTCATAGGTATTTCACTCAGAAATAGCTCATATATCTTAGGTGACACAAAATTGATAAGCTGACTTAGTTTATCTAGATCTTTTTATGAAAGGTCCAAGTTGTATTCGAAAGTCTTAAACCAGTGCTTCCATTTTGACGCAGCCGCTTGATTGCTGGGGTCACAGTTAGCCTCTAGGTTTCAGTAAACGCTACATGTTGTTGATGTAGTCTAGCTCAGGTTTCACCACCAGGTAATCCCAGGATTCTATGTTCAATAAATTGTTGTGATAGAAACACAGGCCTTATCTTCTAGGGCTTTATTGAACATTGAATCTTCATAGTACTTCTGACAACAACAAATAATATTTCTATGATAGTACATCTAAATAAATGCTTCTAAAGTGGGATGGTGATGTCTTGCATATGTCATGAGAAAAGTTATAACTACAGGCCACATATTTAAACTCACCATGTAATCTGCATCACTAATATATGGATATAAGAGAAGAGAATCACACACCATGTGTTGGCGCCCATGACACACACCAAACTGTTGTTGTTGTTAAGGGCCCCGACAGGTGGTGCAGTATTATCCTGCTGCTGCTCCCCACAGGAGCAGTATCACTACAATTACCTTCTTCAAGTTTTTTGCTAACCTGTGCGTAAATTTTCTTGTTTTCAGTGGAACTTTTCGTGGGTCTACCTCTGTAATTCCTGCGATGATGGGGCAGAAGGACACAATTATCCGTTCTTGGGTAGTTGCGCACTGCCTTGATGACTGATGTGGTTAGCAGTTTGCCTCGTCTTTCAGGAACTGCAAGACAGACATTGCCGAACAGGAGTAGGTTGTGCCATGCTTTGATTGTCCCTCGGGCTTCTAAGTTGATGGAACCTCCATTCACCTGCTTAAGAAAGTCTGTGAATTTCCCTGCTGAAAAGGGCGAGCGAGCTGAAAATTTACAGCCAAGACAGGACTCGCAGCAATGGTTTCAAGTTGGAAAAATTCAGATTCTGGAAAATAATAGGAAAGCTTGCGTTTGGTTAATAGTGTTGTGGAAGAGTGGATCAAAACTTCCAGAGTACAGTTAGTCAGGCTATAACGGTGTGTAGTTTTAAAAAATAGGTAGTTAAATACATGGAGTGGTGTGGGATGGATGTGATTGGACCTGACTTGCTTGTGTGCTGGGCTCTGATGCAGTGCTCCTTCCTTGAGTGGAGATACCAGACTGGGTGCGGTCATTGGGGGCTAATCTCCCGTGATGGGGTACATTGGTCTAATACGGGGGGGGAACTGCACCTGCTCTGCATGGGTCAGTAGGACCTGTTGCAGTGTTCCTTCTTTCTTATGTTACTTATGTTCTATGTGGGAAATGGGTACTGGGTAGAGTGGATTTGAAATACCAACCCGAAGTTATTGCAAGTGAGGAGGTTGCATTGGAATTGTCATCTGCCTGTGGAGGCTGTGGGCTGGCTCTGCTGGAGGGGCATATGTGATCCCGAACCACCATGGTATGCACAAATAAGGCCATCCATGTTGCGTGCTCGAAACTCTCCACACCACTGTCATGTGCCTCTTCTCTTCATTGTGGGTGCACTGTTTCCCTGGCTTTAGTGGTGGCTGCTGCATATTTGCATACCTCAAACTGTGTGCAAAACCAGGATGAAGGGAAAATTGGCGCATGGCACATACGCATGTGGTTTCTTGTGGTGAGGGGTGAGGAGAGGGGTCTCCCGTCCATTTTGGGGCGGTGAGGGAAAGGGAGATAGTTTAAGATTAGTTTCGTTCGATTTTTAACCCCGGAGGGTTTGCCACCCAGGATTACCAAGAAAGTCAGTGCGTCATCGAGGACTGTCTAACTATTTCCATTGGGGTCATTAATCTTGTCCCCAGGATGCGACCACACACCTGTCCGTAACACCCAGGTACCTTTTTGATGCTAGGTTGAACGGACAACTAAGGTTGTAAGGAACGTGTCGGAATGTTTCCAACCCGACGGGAATACGAACCGGGCCCTCCGTGTGTGGAAGCGGGAGCTTTTAGCCACAGGCCACCGGAGGTGTGTTTTTTCTCTGGAAGATGTGTGAGGGAGGCAGAGTATGGGCACTCACTCCCACCAGAACGTCACCTTACACACCACTATGCTTGTGCACGACCACGTACACTTATACTGGCACTGTACAGGCTACTTAGAGGCCTGGTCAAACAGGAACGGGCCGAGGGTAGGGCGTTGACCCCCGGAACTCTCTCCAGGTAAACTCCAGGTCCAGGTATACATCACTATGCTCTGTGCCACTGCCCACTGTATTACGATGGAGATTATATGCACTGGAAAAACGTACTAGGGGGATGAACAAAGTTGATCCCATGTATCAGTAAATCTTCCCTATGAGGATACCTGGAGTTTACCTGAAGAAGAGTTAGGGGGGTCATCGCCCCAGCGGCCGGTCTGTGACATGCCTCCTGTGGATCAGAGCCTGATCAACCAGGATGTTACTGCTGGCTGCTCACTAACCATCGTACGAGCACAGCCCGGTGGTCTGGAAACGACCTTTAGGCTGCTTGTCCTGTGCACAGCTTGAAACTGCCTGGGGTCTGTTGGTATTCCCCTTATGTATGCGCGAGGCAAGTTGAACAGTCTTGGGCCCTGACAACTTATTGTATGGTCTCTTAACGTGATAGTGACACCCTGCTTTTCATTGGGGGGATGTTGGTAGTCTGCCAAGTCTTTTGACTTTCGTAGTGCAGTGATCTTCGTGTGGCAAGTTCGGTACTAGTCCCTATAGGATTTTCCAGATGTAAATAATCATGTACTCTCCCGCCTTGCGTTCCAGGGAATACAGGTTCATAGGTACCTCAGCGCTCCAGTACTTGTGGTGTTTTATACTCAGTTTTGCGCCCCATGAAGGTTCTATGTACATTTTTTAGGTCAGCAATTCACCTGCCTTCGAAAGGAGCTGTTTTAGTGCGGTCGTGCAGCATTATTCCAGCCTAGATAGATCAAGGTGACCTGAAGAGTGGTAATATGGGTTGGCATCCTAGTTTTGATGGTTCTCATTATCCATCTGTCATTTTTCTAGCAGATGCGATTGATATAATGTTATGGTCCTGGAAGGTGTGATCCTCCGGACATGATCACTCCCAGGTCTTTGACATTGGGGTTTAGCTCATTTTGTGGCCAGAATTTGTTTTTTACTCTGTTGAAGATTTAATTCCATCGTGTTTACCATATCTGAGTATATTGAATATTTTCTAATGTTGTATTCATATTTGTGTTTCTGCAGCCCCACGGACAGATTTGGTTGATGTTCCGCCTGGAGCCTTGCAGTGTCTGCAATGGAAGACCTGTCATGCAGATTAGGGTTCATCTGCCAAAGGAAGACAGGTGCTGCGGCCTGACATCCTTGCCTTGTCAGATATGTGGTTGGCTAACAAAGAGGGGGAGCGGAGTACTGTCCTTGTGGAACATGAGCTTTTCACCGTAGCTGCCTCGGCTCTATACTCTGTTGAGACTACTCTCTGTGTTTGTTAGTGAGGAAAATTATAGATCCATCGACCGACTTTTCCTGTTATTCCTTTAGCAACGGCATTTTGGTGCACTATTACGTCATGGTCACACTTGTCGATGGCTTTTGCAAGTCTGGTATATTATTAACATATGCATTTTTGTCTTCTACGTGCATCTAGGGAACTTGTCGTGTGATTCAATAGTTGAGACAGACAGGAGCGAACCTGTTCATTAAACCTTGTTTGCCATGGGTTTTGTAACTGATGGGTTTCTAGATGGGTGGTGATCTTGCTTCTTAGGTCCCTTTCAAAAGATTTTTATGATATGGGTTGTTAGTGCTATCAGTCTGTAGTTATTTGCTGTTGCTTTACTGCCCCCTTTGTGGAGTGGGGCTATGTCTGTTGTTTTTTGTTCACTGTGGTTTTTTTTTTTGGACGGACCCGTGTCCCATGATCCTCCTCAATAGGATGGAATAAGGCTCGTGGATTTTAAAGGCATCTTGCAGTTCTTGTGAACAGGACGTTCCATGAGTCTGGCTCTGGGCAGAGTGCTATGGGCATGCATTATCGCACTGTTCGAAGTCTTTTGGCGTTAGGATTAATAGGATAGGCTTTTTGTTAAACCAAATTATGTGGCTCTTCAATAAAAAAATATTTTGATCTACGATTCAGTCTGGTTAGCGGCTTGCTAAATTCTGAGTCATATTGGGAATTGAGTAGCTCAATCTTTTCCTTGCTGTCATCTGGTGTTGGACCACTTGATTTAAGTGGGGGCCCACTAATGGACGTTGTTCTCGACTTTGTTTTGGCATAGGAGAAGAAATACTTTGGGTTTCTTCGATTTCATTTTATGCATTTAGTTCTTCCCCGCGCGATTCCCTGACTACTATTAGATCCTTTAGCTTAAAGTTCGTTGCTGCTGTTTCTCTGTGTCAGTGCTCCCTACGCATTTCGATATATTGACCTCTTTTAGCGCTCTGTTATTCTTTTCACGTCGCCGTAAAGGGAGTGCCTGTCTCTTTTTATTTACATCTAAACCTCCTTTTTCTTAGGAGGTATAACGCCTGGTGCAATACATCGAATGCACCAAGTTAATTGGTCTAGGCATAAGTTGGGTGAGTCTGTGTTGCTTAGTATATCTTCCCAGCTTTATCGGTTAGGACTTGGTTTACTTGGTCCCACTTTATGTTTTTTGTTATTGAAGTTGAATTTGGTGAATGCTCCCTCGTGACTAATCTCATTATGTCGGTCTGGGCTCACGAATACATATCTTGAACCTCAATTATGTTGTGATTGAGTATATTGTCTTGATACTGTGATATGGTGACATTTCTTATTCAATCATCATTGTTAGTGAAGATGAGGTCTAGTGTATTATCCTGTCTAGTAGGCTCTATTATTGCTGGTTTAAATTGAATTTTGTGCTGAGATTTAAGCTCATTGTGAGTGCTGAGTTTTATCAGAGCTGCCTCCTGGTGTTATTACTGC